TAATTAATCTGTTTATTGTTTTTAATTATCATAGTTTTTATCATTGTATTAAATTACATATGATTTATTTTAAAAAAATTATTGTATGTTAGCTCACAAATTATTAACATTTAACTTTTAAAACTTTAGTATTATAGATATAAAAAAATACCACAAACACTATATTAAATATATTATAATTGTATTTATATTTATTTAAAAAAAAACACTAACTTATAATTTAAATACTAAATTAATTTATTGCAAATAAAATAAATCTATTATAAAAATCAAAAAAAAAAATCTAATTAAATAAAAACATTATAAACTTACACACACACACACACACATACACACACACACACACACACACACATATATATATATATATATATATATATATATATATATATATATATATAACACACCAACAAACAAACACACACACACACACACACACATACATACATACATACATACATACATACACACACACACACCACACCACACATACAGTATATATATATACACATAAACACACCAACAAACACACACACACATATACATACATACATACATACATACATACACACACACACACATATATATATATATATATATATATATATATATATATATATATACATAAACACACCAACAAACAAACACACACACACACACACACATACATACATACATACATACACACACACACACCACACCACACATACAGTATATATATATACACATAAACACACCAACAAACACACACACACATATACATACATACATACATACATACATACATACACACACACACACATAAATATAATTATCAATTGGTGACACATATCCTAATAATAACATCACCCGACATACACCACACTTGTGGTACGTCCTACTACTACACACTGGGACCCCTACATAGCTATGTTAGAGTAATATAAATCCTAATAATTAGACTATAATTAGCATAAATATATTGCGCGCAAATACAAAGTGGTGTGAGATATTTAACTATTATATTTATTTTTAAACTGTTTCCTTAAGAAAGAAAAAACATACACACAAACACACACATAATAGTTAATATTATAATTAACATTTAAAGTTAATATATTTTTAAATATCACATAAAAATAAATAAAGAGAAAGAGAGAGATAGAGAAAGAGATAACAAAAATGTTTACAAAAGTAAATGTATACTAATTTTAATTGATTTAAATAATTATTATAATTTTAGATTCTTATATAATAAGAATCTAATATAAAAATAATAATATTAATAATTACTATATTAATAATTACTTTAAAATATTATAAAATAATTTTTATATTTTAAATAATATTTATATTTTAAATAATATGTTTAAACAATTTGTTTGTTATTAGTAATAATAATAATTATTATTATTATTATTATTATTATTATTCAAAATTAAATATAATGTCATTACTTATTGATAAGTTTGACATCAGTTGTAAAATTACTGGAAAATTGCGACAAAATATTCAACTATTTTATGTGTTTGACGACGAATACGGGTCTAACCTATTGTTTGTGACCACCGATGATGATGATAATGATGACAACGACGACGACGACTGTCCACAACAACAACAACAACAGGTATACGGTGTTGGGGCCAACTGTTTCGGTACGCTAGGTCTCGGCCATAATCGGCCAGTCAATGACACACCCGAACTGATCGGCGGAGATTTGTACGGCGAAAATGTTATCGAGTTTGCCAACGGCGAAGACTTTGTGGTCGCTATGACTGCCGATCATCGGGTGTACTCGTGGGGCCAGAACAAGTGGGGACAGTTGGCCAGAAAAGAGACGCCACCCGGTGTTTACCAAAAACCGGCACCGATTGGACAGTTAGACGACGGTCAGCGTATAGTGCAGCTAAAGTGCGGCTATTTTCATGTACTCGGGCTCACTGAGGACGGCGTGGTGTACGGCTGGGGCGATAACAGTTGGGGACAGATTGGTTGTTCAGATCGGGACATACAGTCGATGCCAGTGCCATATAGGCTGACGATTGGCACCGATAAAGATATCGTACAAAGTGTCGCCTGTTATGGTTTCTCATCGTTTGCTGTCACCTCAGACGGACAGGTATACAGTTGGGGATACAATAGTCACTGTCAACTGGGACACGACCTAACTGGCGATATACATGAACCTCGTTTGATAGCCAACCTTAACAACACTGTTGTCCAAACAGTTTGTCCCGGCGCTGATCGTACACTGTTTCTCAGCTCAGAGGGAACGGTATTGTTTTGTGGCAAATATAAAGATGAAAACGGCTGTACACAGCTAGACAACTGTCCACAAGTGTTGGACACAACTATCACCACCATTTCCAGACAGATCCAGGCGCTACAAACTATATACTCACAACAGGACCGGTTGGCTAATCCAACAGTACTTATCAATGAACGAGTCTATGAACTATTGCCGACAAATCAATTGATGAAAACACAATTCCGTAGTTTTGATTGTTTTTATGCCGACACCTATGATATGACCTATCGGACTATATATCTGTGCTCTAGTAATACTACTACTGCTACTACTAATAGTGTTAACTATAGTGATAGTGATACTGATAGCAACAACGATAATGTTAGTGATAGTGAAACAACTAATATGTTAGCCACGGATGACGATGAAGATGACCAGCAAAATGATAGTAGTGTTGTTGAAGACAATGACAATGATAGTGATGATGCTATCAATGATGATGATGATGATAATAGTGATAATGATAATACTAGTGATGATGAAAACAGTGATTGTTTTGATGATGAAACTAATAATAATAATAATAGTAAAAATGTTAGCAATAATGATAGCGATGATAGTATTGATGATAAAAATCAAAGTGAAAAAGTTAGTGAAAGTATTAGTGATGATAATGATTCAGATGATGATAATGACATCAATGATGACACTGATCAGCAGTTTGAGATAATCAATGAAAATGAAACTAATAATAATATTAATAGTGATGATGATGAGGATACCGATGCTGCTGATGATGATGATAATGATGACCAACAATGTTATAATAGACTATTAGATAAGTTTCAGATATTCAATAAACTGGCGCCGGATCTAAAGCGTACAATAAAATTGTTTCATGTTTTTGCCGATACTTATGGTCAGAACGTGCTATTTGTGACCATCGGCGACGATCAGGTGTACGGCATCGGCAGCAACGAGTTCGGTGGGCTTGGGTTAGGCCATAAAAAACCGGTCGATTCGGTTGAATTGATACGCGAGTTGTGCGGCCGACGGGTACGGGAGTTCATTGTTGGACTGTACTTTGCGATAGCCGTGACCGACGCGGGACAAGTGTATGCATGGGGTCAGAATCGATGGGGACAGTTGGCTCGCGGAGCTACCGATTCGGATCACTATTTATGTCCCGAAATGATCGACTATTTCGACGACGATACGGCCGTCCAGCAGATATCGTGCGGTTATTACCATACAATGGCACTGACCGCTAACGGACGTGTGTACAGCTGGGGTCGCAACATATGCGGACAGTTAGGCTACGCTACTAGCGCTACAAAATACTCGTCTCAGCCCCGGGAGGTTCGCTTTCCTATGAAAGGATTGGCTATAAAATCGATACACTGTAGCGAATATTCATCGTTTGCCGTTACCCTCGATGGACAGGTATACAGTTGGGGCTATAATCACAACAATAGGTTAGGCCATTCAGCTCATGGCAATATCTTTAGGCCGCAACTTGTCGAGCATATCCCCGGACCAGTGCTGACCGTATGTCCTATTGGTAACACTACATACTATCTGAATTCAGAGGGATTCATATATTTTTCTGGTATACATCAGCATCAGTCGTCCAGTTGTGATAAATCAATGGCTATACAAAACATACCGAAACTTGCAGTACAACCGGATAGTAGTAGTAGTAGTATATGTTTTACAGACATACAGTCAATGATAGTGTATAACAATAATTGTACGCCAATTGTTACGGTAATTGTTAATAATAATAATAATAACAATAATGATTGTGATTATAATGATTGTAATAATGATAATAATAATAAAATCTATAGATTAATGTTATCAATGGATATAATTGAAACAAATTATACTAATAATATCGATGATTATTATATTAATGAATATCAATTAACAATGAAAACAATAAAATTGATTTAAATAATATCTATTGTAATTATTTTTTTTAATTCAATATGTGTGTGTATGTGTGTATGTGTGTATGTGTGTATGTGTGTATGTGTGTATGTGTGTATGTGTGTATGTGTGTATGTGTGTATGTGTGTATGTGTGTATGTGTGTATGTGTGTATGTGTGTATGTGTGTATGTGTGTATGTGTGTATGTGTGTGTGTGTGTGTATGTGTGTGTATGTGTGTGTATGTGTGTGTATGTGTGTGTATGTGTGTGTATGTGTGTGTATGTGTGTGTATGTGTGTGTATGTGTGTGTATGTGTGTGTATGTGTGTGTATGTGTGTGTATGTGTGTGTATGTGTGTGTATGTGTGTGTATGTGTGTGTATGTGTGTGTATGTGTGTGTATGTGTGTGTATGTGTGTGTATGTGTGTGTATGTGTGTGTATGTGTGTGTATGTGTGTGTATGTGTGTGTATGTGTGTGTATGTGTGTGTAGGTGTGTGTATGTGTTTGTGTGTGTAAAACTATTTTTAATAAACTGTAACATTTTATTTATAGCTAATATAATAACTATTTAATTATGTTATTAAATAAGATATTATAGAAATAGGGGAACTCAGAGATACAGTACATTTGACAGTCTGTATTAAAATCAAAAATAATTTTTTAAAAAGAAAGTTACTAATATAACGTTAAAATTTAATAAATAAATAAATAACACTAATAGCATATATATTATTTTTAATTAAATTTTTTTTTGTTAAACAAATTGTTTAAGTTGTTATATAAATTTAAATCACATTTTAAGACTAACACAAAAAAAAACTTTTTTTTTTTTAAAATTAATTAACAATTCAATTATCCCTTTCGTACTGCAACTGATAGGGTAGTGCCCGACTGAACTCCTGTGCCAGTCGGCTATGACTGGCCCCTATCGCACGCCTGTTCATAATATCGACGGCTCCGCCCTCTGTATCGACCACTACGCCACCCGCTTCGGTAATTATCAGCGATGCGGCCGCCAAATCCCATACGTGTACGCCTATCGCCCAGTTGGCGTCGGCATAGCCCTCAGCCACGTAACACATTTCCAGTGCACAGCTGCCCAAACAGCGGACACCGTGAGTGGCGAACGCCATCCGACCAAAATTGGCGGCCATTTGACGTCTCTTTTCCGGATCACTATCGGCACCGATACCGCCGACGACCAATGCTTTCGCCAGCGATTCGCACGGTTCACGTACGCGAATGGGACGACCGTTACAGTAGGCACCCGACCCCTTACGAGCCGTATATAGTTTGTCGAGAAACGGATTGTAGACTATGCCTAAAACCGGTTCCCTTTGGATGGCCAGTGCTATGGCTATACACGTAAACGGATTGTTGTGTACAAAATTGGTGGTGCCGTCAATCGGATCGATGATCCACGTGGGAGCCGATGTCAATCCCTGTCCATCACCGAAACCGTTGGTCTGCTCTTCGCCGACAAATCGGTGATCGGGATACGACTTTCCCAGTTCGCCAAACAAATATCGTTCCACTTGGCCGTCGGTTTCGGTAACCAAATCGATTGGCGACTCTTTACCGTGTCCTCTACGCTGTTTGTCCGACGCCGTAGTCATCATACGGCCGGCATCGATGGCCAGCCTTACGGCCAACTGTTCGCATTTGAGTAGTTCTTCGGCGTTCATTAGTGTCGTGTCGTTTTGAAAGTTATTGTGAAAGTAATAATATAACTAATTTTTTTCAAAAAATAAAAAAAATTATTTATAAGTATTTAGATAATAGAAAAATATTTATATAATAAAACGTTAGTATTATTAGTATTATTGCATATAATTTAAGTGCACATTAAATAAATGTTTTTTTAAACTTGTAATATATTATCTAAACATTTTTCTATTGGAAAAATAAACGATTAATTTTTTTTTTGTGGAAATTTTTTGTTTATGTTTAGATTGTATGTGTTTTCAAAGTTATCGCCAAAAAATACACATAATTTATATAATACTATAATTTTTTTTATTAGTAATACAATAATTTAAATTTTTTTTTAAAAAAAAAGACAGTGCTGAATAAGCATTTAAAAAATTAATATTTACTAAATATAAAGTTTATAATAACATATTTTTGAAAAAAAATTATTTTAATAGTAGTAATTTTTTTGTTGTTGCTAACTATGTGTATAAAAATATTATAGTAATTTTATTTTTGACATTAACTGTACTAAAATTTTTTTTATTGTTACATAACATTTAGCATTTTAATGTTAACAGTAGTTAACTTATACTTTATAAATAAAAATTTTTCATATTTTTAAACTAAAGTTTTTTAAATCATTAACATTTACTGTGTATATCACTTTTTTATAAAAAAAATAAATGTTGTTATTATTAGATAACTAACTATTTTTATTTGATAATAACAAAAAATTAAAGTACTTTTTTTTGTAATAAATAAAAAAATTATTTAAATAAATATAAAATACAGATTAAATTAAATTAAACAAATAGAAAAAAAATCTCGTTTTTAATTTATTTTAATAAACAAATTAAGATAATTATTAACAATTGATATTTATTTTAATTTATTTTAATTATTATTATTAATTATCACTAAAAATAACTAATCATATAATCAAATGAGACAATCATTTGTCCGGTTCGTACTCGAGATGATCGGTCAGCGCCGCACTGACCTCTCGGGCTAACTGTTCGCTAGTGGCGGCCAATACGCGCCGATTCAACCAGTTTATCGGTCCGCCGCGTGTATCCCATACAACACCGCCCGCTTCGATCAGTACGAGTCCGGCGGCCACAATGTCCCAGACATGCATACCGAAGTGCCAGAAGGCGTCGCCATAGCCTTCGGCCAAATAGCACAGCTGTATGGCTGTCGACCCGAACGATCGGACGCCGTGCGACCGCCAGCCTATGGCTTCAATGTTACGCAATACGGCCTGTTGTTTATCAAGATCTTTGTGCGACCCGAGTTCGGTAATCAATAGTGCATCGGCCAGTCGTCTACTGGCCGAAAGTGGTGGGACCCGAATAGGACGGCCGTTACATGTGGCGCCCATACCTTTGCGCGCCGTATAGAGTTTGTCGATGAACGGACAGTAGACAACCCCGAGTACCGGCTCTTTGCCAACTGTCAGTCCGATTGATACACACGTAAATGGAAAGTTGTGTACAAAATTGGTTGTACCGTCGATCGGGTCGACAATCCAAGTGGGCTCCGCGGTCAACGATTGTTGGCCACCACCACCATCACCGTTAGTCCCTTCTTCGCCGATAAACCGATGGGCGGGAAACTGACGGCGCAGTTCACCGAACAGATAGCGTTCAACAGCGATATCGGTTTCGGTAACCAAATCGATGGCCGATTCCTTTTCGCGAACTTCTTTGCGTTTTCCCGCGGCGTCACTCATCATACGGCCGGCCGCGATGGCCAACTCAATGGCCACCCGTTCGCATACTAACAGTGTTTCGGTATTCATAGTGTTGTTATAACTAATTAAAAAAAAGTTATTTCAAAAAATTAAAAAATTAATTATTATTAGTTAACTTTAATAAAAATTACTTTTAATAACAAAATACACTTACATTGTATTATAATAATTATAAATTTAATATTTAAAAAAAAATTTCATATACTGTACAACTAAATCAATAATTTAATTGTAATTATTTTAATTATTATTATTATTGTGGTAATAGTACCATGGGTAAATTTCCATAAACAATTATTAATTATCACTATTTAACTTAATGTATATTTTAAAAAATAAATAAATTATAACACATGCATAATAACATATACCATGATAATTATGATTAATTATTATTATTTAATTTGCGCATGTCAATTTTTATATATTATATTAATAATAAATTTTAATGTTAGTACAAATTGTAACACATTATTATTATTTTTTTTTGTTTTAAATAATTATATTGATACACTATTTTTTCACATGTACAGTATACATGTATAATAATAATAATTTAATCAATTAGATTAAATTATTATACTGTACATGTATATGGTAACCTTGATTAGTTTGTTTTAAAATTATTATTATTATTATTATATAAATTACTTATTATTATTATATAAATTACTTATTATTATTATATAAATTACTTATTATTATTATATAAAATTACTTATTATTTGTTTGATATTGTTTGATTTGTTATCTATGAAATTAATATTAATATTTATTCAATCACTAATTAAATAAATATTCACATTATTATTAATATAAACTTATAATATTGATATATTAAATATATATATAATATAATTAATAATATACTTAATATTGTATATGAAATTACAAAAGAGTTTATTTTAGACCGAATAATAAAATAAAATTAAATTTAATATTATAAGTAAAATATTTTATGGTTAGAAATATTAAATAAATAAATAAATAAAACTTTTTTTTGTTTTAAAATATTAATGCTTAATTTTTATTAACCGTAAACTTTTGTGTTATTACAACCACACAAAAAAAACATTATTAATTTTATAACAACCAAAAAAAAATATACAAAATATACAAAAATTATTTTTAAAAAATTTAGTCAACAAATCTTATTATATTAAAAAAAACAATTATATTATATAAAAATATATTTATATTAAAAAATAATAAATTTTTGAATCAATTGAATGATAGTATGTTTACGGATGATCTGTTGGATCTGTTGGACCAGTTGTTTGTTAAGACCATAGAGTTTAACCATAGAGGACACGGGGAGCATAGCCATAGCCGTATGAGCCACGATAGACAGGTGCAGCGGCATAGGCACCACCATAGTAGCCACCATAGCCAACCCGAGCCGCATAGGGATAGCCAGTGTGTACACCGCCGTAGTAGACCTGAGCTGAGACGGCAGCGATGGCCACAATGAGGACAACGAGAGCGACAATGGATTTCATTTTTTTTGAGGAAAGTTGTGGTTTTTGTTTGGTTTGAAAGCACACAAAAAATGTTTGATAGAAAACTGTATGCAAGTGTTTGCCTTTATATACTAAAATTTTTTTTATTTTTAGAAAAATAAAAATTATAATACAATATCACCGATTGATGGCCAGGGATATGCAGAGAGAGAGAGAGAGAGAGAGAGAGAGAGAGAGAGAGATAGAGAGAGAGAGGTGATGATGGGTGGGGTGAGATCAGTCAGTTGGCACTGGGAGCTCATCGATGAGGTAGTTATACACACACTGTACTGATATATACATTGTATTAGTATTGTGAAGGACAAGGAGTTTACGGATTACTACAAAAAAAAATTTGAAAAATAAAAAAAAACAAATAATTGCAATTATTATTATTATTATCATAATAGTAGTAATAATACTTATAATTATTATTACTAATATATGAGTAACAAATTAAAAATTAAAAAAAATATATTGCATTACAGTTTTGATAACTAAATATAATGTGTTTTTTTGTTTTTGTTGTTTTTTTTGTTGGTAATAATATAAATGATTTTATTATATAAAAACAATTATATTTGTTTAATAATATGTTATTATTATTATTATTATTTTTGTACTCATATACCGGTATATGTATTAATACTTATAATAATGTATAATATTATTAAACCCATAATATATACACTGTATATACATATTTTCAAGTACAGGGTCACACATACACACACACACACACACTACCCAAGGCTTAACCTTTTTTAGGTATGTGCTGAGCTCCTTAACTAACTAACTACTAGTGCTTTCCCCAATGTCAACAAAATATAATATATATATATATATATATATTTATATATTTAATAAAATTGATTAATGTATCTATTGATTTCATATATGAAAACAAAATAAACGCTTTGTATTATTATTAAAATTTTGTTTACCAATTGTTAATTTGATTTTTTTTCATGAAAAATATCTATTTTGAAAAATATAATTTTTTACAATTTTTTTAAGTCAATTATATCTATTAAACTGTATAAATATACTGTTATATTGTATATTTTGTATCTAATTTTCAAAAAAAACAATTGTGTAAATTTTTATAATTTACTTGAAAAAATATATATACTTGAAAAAAATATATTTATTTTTATAGACATAATATTTATATATAATATATAAAAATTATTTTTTTATTGATTGATTGACAATTTAATTTTTTTTATTTGTATCCAATTACTATTGAAATGTCAAAATAAAATTTTTTTACTCAAATAAAATACGATAATATCATATATCATATAATCTAATATTATAATATTTATTTTGTATTTTTTTAAAAATAAAATGTCAAAAATTATTAATTATTTTAGTAATTTTAACAACTGATTGTATGTTAAATTATATTTTACATAATCTTTATAACTGTAATATCATTAATGTTAACAATTCTAGTGTTATGTTTAAAATTATTTTATTTCTAATGTATAAATAATTAAATATTTTTAAACAATATATTTATTATAATAATGTTAGATAAATTGAAAAACTAAATAAATCTAATAAAAATAAACATAATCTATCTATAAGTATATATCTATTTATAACTATTTTATTTTAATAATAAATTATTATTTTACGTAACTGTAAGTTTGCTAATACACTAAAAATGTTTTTTTTGTTTACTATTTTTTTGGTTATTTTGAGGTCAAGTTAGACACGTTAGCAATGTTTTAATAAAAATTAATATTATATCAATACTTTCAATAATTTAGTAAACATAAAAAACATAAAAAATTTTATGTAAATATAATTAAGCTGTAAATTTGAAAGTTTTTATATTTATAATAAATTATTATAATAGTAATAAATTTAAAAGTTTTTATTTAATATTAAAAAAATTATATTTTTTTAAATATGTGAGATTAAGTTTTATTTTACAAAATAGTTTTTTTTAAATAATTAAATGTTTAATAAAAAATTTAGTATATTAAATTTAGTTAATTAGCTATAAATTAATTAACATTATCTAAATAAATAAAAATATGCCAGTTCATTTTATGCAAATTGAAACATTGAAAACACAACACGTGAAAGTAATTTTCAATATTAATTTATAATCATTATTTAAATTAATACCTATACATTTTTATTTCAGCACATAAACTTAAAAATAAAATAAATAAATTATCATGGTCAACTATAATTTTTTTGCATTTAATAACTTTATCTAAATCAAAAAAATATGCTAGTTCATTTTATTCAAATTTAAACATTACACGTGAAAGTAATTATAAATATTACTTTATATACAAATATAATAATTTTTTAGATGTTATATTGCTAAAAACTAAAAAAAATAATGATAATCATTATTTAAATTAATAACAATACATTTACATTTCGGCATGAAAACATTTTAAAAAAAATAAATTATCATGGTCAACTATTATATTTTTTTTTGGGATTAATTATTATAGATTTTACTTGTGTATTAAATGACAATTTTTGTGTGTATAATAATAGACTATTATTAATAGTATATAAGCTTGAATTTTGTTTGTTTAGAAATCAATAAGTTTTTAATTAACTTATAAATACAGTAATAGTTTTTATTTTGTAGAAACAAAACTAAAACAATAACAATATGTTTAAGTTTACTACTATTGCTATACTGGTTGTCCTATTGCTGGTGGTCAGGGATGGCATTATCACTCAATCAAACAATAGCACCGAAACCACTAGTGATGATCAAACTAATACCAATGGCACCGATGGTGATAGTAATCCTAGTATTGGACATATAATATCTGAATTAAATCCATTGAATAATAATACAAAATCATCAAATGATACTACAGGTGGTCAGGAGTAATATCATATAATTTATATATATATATATATATGTTATAGATAAAATTTTTTAATATTTATTTGACAATTTGAAAATTATTTATTAAAAAAAACAAAATTATTAGATAAAAACTATTATTTTTATTATTTGATACTGTATTTAACTATATAATAAATAAATAAAACAATATATTAGTTGTTGTTAATAAATATTTAGATAATTTAATAAATAATAAATATTTAGATGATCATTATTTATTAAATTAATAATATTTTAATAAATAAAATAATTAATAAATGTAAAATAGTTATACATAATTAATTTGTCATTAAATTATTAGGTTATTAAAAAATTAATACCAAACATACATAAAAAAATTTATTATTTAAAAATATGATTAATAATTAACAATTTTTTTATAATAATAATTATTATATATGTTTAAAAAAAATCTATTTTGACACAGTTTTTCACTAATAAAATATTTACTGTATTTTATCTTAAAAATTAACTTTTGTTTATTTATTTAATTAATCGTTTAATTTAATTAATTAACTATAAATAATATTTTTGCTTTATTATATTGCTAAAACAAATTAAAAACGATGATATACAAAATTTAACTGTATAATTAACATTTATGTTAATTAAAAGCTTAATTAAAATCTAATATAATAAAATTAGCTAATTAGTTATAAACATTAACTTTATTTAAATAAAAAAATATGCCAGTTCATTTTATTCAAATTGAAACATTGATTGACACAACACGTAAAAATAATTTTCAATATTAATTTATAATCATTATTTAAATTAACACCTATACACTTATATTTCAGCACGTAAACTTAAAAATAAAATAAA